TCTTCCTAAACTCTCCTTAACTGTGGGGCACCAACTCATCAAGTTCAAGGAGCTAAAGTTTAATTTCAGTATTTCTACATTACAGATATTTATAGCCTCTCTCTTAATTGTCCAATGGATTCTTTTTTATAATTCTTATTCTCCAAATTGTCCTATGTTATAACTCTATGTCAAAATAAACTACCACTTTCCTGTATGAAAATTCAGTGTGACAGTACTCTTCTTTAAGATTTTCAATACAGTCTGGACAACTATATTTTACCTACACATGGACAGACAAAATGGTTTTGTCAATTTTACAATAGAGGGAGAGCCCACCTTAGTCATAGCTTCAGTTTCACTGGCAGTCTCTTGAGTTCTTAGATAAAATAGATATTCTTGGGAATCCACATATAAAAATCAGAAAAAAAATCTCTTTTGGAAAACCCGCAAGCAATTAACGCTCCCTGGGCATTTTTTCCATATTATGTATCTGTGAAAGCAGCTAATAGTAGTTATAAGGAAAATAAAATTGAATGTAGCTGGGAACAACTGATGATTTGGGAAAACATAATGAAAAGCTAAGGGTCATAAATCAGAGTTTAAAGGACAGCTCTAAAAGCCAAAGGTTTCACTGGCAACATATAAATTGACTCTCATAGAGGGCAAATAGAGCTGAGGACCAAGGCTAGGACTTCATCAGGGGAGGAGCAGAGCTCCAGAGGTGATTGATCATTCAACCTAGGTAGTTTTGCCATGCCAAGGTCTGGGCCCTAACTGGAGAGACAGGGACCCTGAGATATGAGATGGCGACATCTGAAGTGGTGCATTTGTAGATCTTGAGTCCCCTAAATTCCCTTGAACACTCTGTGCTTGCAGAAGTGATCCAATTTCTTTCATGTCATATAGCGCCACCTCCATTCTTGAAGATGATGCAGAAGCTTCAGTCTTGAAAGACAAATAACACAAGCTCCCCTCACTACCTTCTCCCACCTCTCTTTGTCATAGACCAATAACTACAATTAAGTTACACAACTCACCCAGAGAATGGCTGAGCTTGTTTTTTTAAATATTTTATTTTATTTTATTTTTTATTGGAGTTCAATTTGCCAACATATAGCATAACACCCAGTGCTCATCCCATCAAGTGCCCCCTCAGTGCCCGTCACCCAGTCACCCCCACCCCCCACCCACCTCCCTTTCCACCACTCCTTGTTCGTTTCCCAGAGTTAGGAGTCTCTCATGTTCTGTCTCCCTCTCTGATATTTCCCACTCATTTTCTCTCCTTTCCCCTTTATTCTCTTTCACTATTTTTTATATTCCCCAAATGAATGAGAACATATAATGTTTGTCCTTCTCCGATTGACTTATTTCACTCAGCATAATACCCCCCAGTTCCACTCATGTCGAAGCAAATGGTGGGTATTCCTCGTTTCTAATGGCTGAGTAATATTCCATTTTATACATAAACCACATTTTCTTTATCCATTCATCTTTCAATGGACACCGAGGCTCCTTCCAAAGTTTGGCTATTGTGGACATTGCTGTTATAAACATCAGGGGTGCAGGTGTCCCGGCGTTTCATTGCATCTGAATCTTTGGGGTAAATCCCCAGCAGTGCAATTGCTGGGTCGTAGGGCAGGTCTATTTTTAACACTTTGAGGAACCTCAGTTCCTCAGTTTTCCAGAGTGGCTGCACCAGTTCACATTCCCATCAACAGTGCAAGAGGGTTCCCCTTTCTCCACATCCTCTCCAACATTTGTGGTTTCCTGCTTTGTTAATTTTTCCCATTCTCACTGGTGTCAGGTGGTATCTCATTGTGGTTTTGATTGGTATTTCCCTGATGGCAAGTGATGCGGAGCATTTTCTCATGTGCTTGTTGGCCATGTCTATGTCTTCCTCTGTGAGATTTCTGTTCATGTCTTTTGCCCATTTCAGGATTGGATTGTTTGTTTCTTTGGTGTTGAGTTTAAATTTTTTTTTAATTTTTATTTATTTATGATAGTCACATAGAATGAGAGAGAGAGAGAGGCAGAGACACAGGCAGAGGGAGAAGCAGGCTCCATTAACTGGGAGCCCGACGTGGGATTCGATCCCGGGTCTCCAGGATCGCGCCCTGGGCCAAAGGCAGGCGCCAAACCACTGCGCCACCCAGGGATCCCCCTCTTTGGTGTTGAGTTTAATAAGTTCTTTATAGATCTTGGAAACTAGCCCTTTATCTGATATGTCATTTGCAAATATCTTCTCCCATTCTGTAAGTTGTCTTTTAGTTTTGCTGTTTCTTTTGCTGTGCAGAATCTTCTTATCTTGATGAAGTCCCAATAATTCATTTTTGCTTTTGTTTCTCTTGCCTTCATGGATGTATCTTGCAAGAAGTTACTGTGGCCAAGTTCAAAAAGGGTGTTGTCTGTGTTCTCCTTTAGGATTTTGATGGAATCTTGTCTCACATATAGATCTTTCATCCATTTTGAGTTTATCTTTGTGTACGGTGAAAGAGAGTGGGCTAGTTTCATTCTTCTGCATGTGGATGTCCAATTTTCCCAGCACCATTTACTGAAGAGACTGTCTTTCTTCCAGTGGATAGTCTTTCCTGCTTTGTCAAATATTAGTTGACCATAAAGTTGACACTTCTGGATTCTCTATTCTGTTCCATTGATGTATGTGTCTGTTTTTGCGCCAGTACCACACTGTCTTATGACCACAGCTTTGTAGTACAACCTGAAATCCGGCATTGTGATGCTCCAAGCTATGGTTTTCTTTTTTAAGATTCCCCTGGCTATTCGGGGTCTTTTCTGATTCCACACAAATCTTAAAATAATTTGTTCCAACTCTCTGAAGAAAGTCCATGGTATTTTGATAGGGACTGCATTAAATGTGTAAATTGCCCTGGGTAGCATTGACATTTTCACAATATTAGTTCTTCCAATCCATGAGCATGGAATATTTTTCCATCTCTTTGTGTCTTCCTCAATTTCTTTCAGAAGTGTTCTGTAGTTTTTAGGGTAGAGATCCTTTACCTCTTTGGTTAGGTTTATTCCTAGGTATCTTATGCTTTTGGGTGCAATTGTAAATGGGATTGACTCCTTAATTTCTCTTTCTTCTCAGTTTCATTGTTAGTGTATAGGAATGCCACTGAAATCTGGGCATTGATTTTGTATCCTGCCACACTGCCAAATCGCTGTATGAGTTCTAGCAATCTTGGGGTGGAGTCTTTTGGGTTTTCTATATAGAGTATCATGTCATCTGCAAAGAGGAAGAGTTTGACTTCTTCTTTGCCAATTTGAATGCCTTTTATTTCTTTTTGTTGCCTGATTGCTGAGCTAAGACTTCTAGTACTATATTGATTAGCAGTGGTGAGAGTGGACATCCCTTTCGTGTTCCTGATCTTAGGTAAAAGGCTCCTAGTGTTTCCCCATTGAGAATGATATCTGCTGTGGGCTTTTCGTAGATGGCTTTTAAGATGCTGAGGAATGTTCTTTCTATCCCGACACTCTGAAGAGTTTTAATCAGGAATGGATGCTGTATTTTGTCCAATGCTTTCTCTGCATCTGTTGAGAGGATCATATGAATCTTGTTTTTTCTCTTGCTGATATGATGAATCACATTGATTGTTTTATAAGTGTTGACATAGCCTTGCATCCCGGGGATAAATCCCACTTGGTCATGGTGAATAATCTTCTTTTTTTTTTTTTTTGAATAATCTTCTTAATGTATTGTTGGATCCTATTGGCTAGTATCTTGTTGAGAATGTTTGCCTCTGTGTTCATCAGGGATATTGGTCTATAATTCTCCATTTTGGTGGGGACTTTGTCTGGTTTTGGAATTCAGGTGATGCTGGACTCATAGAATGAGTTTGGAACATGCTTTAGTAGAATAGGTATGGTTTCTTTTATAAACGTTTGATAGAATTCCCCCTGGGAATCCATCTGGCCCTGAACTGAGCTCAATGGGAGACTATATCCCAAAAGATCTGTAGGACCCAAAGACTGCTTCATAGATTGTGGTGTGCTTTTCCATCAAGAGGCTCATACTGTCCAGTTGTTTCCCCTTTTTTGATGTTATCAGCTATTGATGATCATTGCCTAGAACCATTATTTCATTTAGGCATAGCAAAATCATGATATTGCAATTCTATTATTCCTCTGCCTGCCACTTATTAGCTGGGATAATTCCATAAGTCAAAACTTCTCCTCATCAACATTTAGTAATCCAGAGGAATAGTATATACAGAAAAAGCAAAATAATGTTTGATTCTTTCCTTTTATTTACCAGTTTGCATCCTCCAAGGGTGATGAGTTTTTTTTAATTTGCATTAATATGAACTCATGGATTTCAATACACTTGATTGTGAAACAATCCATTGAAGCTCATATCCCTCCATTGATGCTCAAATAAGGAATTTCAAGTTGGCCTCCAAGTCCTTTCAACATGAATCTAGTAATCTTTGAAAATTCCTTGGTTTTTCATATAACCAGATATTGCAGACTTGTCTGTACATTTCCTTCCCCAGACTTCTAATCAACCATTTCTCCAAGGAGCTCCAGTTCCTTTCCGGAGGATACAGTATGTGAGACCATGAATTGAAATATGTGGATGTTCATTACTACTAAATCACTTTCTGTTAGCTTTTTTAACATTCACAACTAGAAAATATATATTTATATGGTAAACCATGTCATGAGTTTCTACTGATTAAATCAATACCACCATCAAAGTAATGAACATCTATCACCCACATTGTAATTCCTTCCCATCCCCTGTTCCCAGGCAACCACCAATCCACTGTCACCATAAATTTGTTTTCATTTTCTAGAATTTTATGGAATACTACCATTGTGTACTCTATCTTGCCTGGTTTTTCATTCAGTATAATAATATTGAAATTCATGTTGTGTGTATCACTAGTTCATGTATTTTTTTTTCAGTTTCTTTTTTTTTTGTATTTTCCAAGTTCATATTTTACTTTAGTCCATTCCTCTGTGTCCATCTCTCTCCCATGAACGTGAGTGTGTGCTCTTTCAAAAATATGAAACGCTTCATGAATTTGCATGTCATCCTTGCACAAGAACCACACTAATCTTCTCTGTGCTGTTCCAATTTTAGTATATGTGCTACCCAAGTGAGCACTAGTTCATTTCTTTTTATGACTGAGAAGTTTTTCATAGTATAGAGACATGCCATTTGTTTATCTACTGACCTTTTGGTGAACATGTGGGTTGTTCTCAGACTTTTTGGATTCAAATAAGGTCTCCACGAACATTTGTGAACAAATCTTTATAGTGACGTAACGTTTTATCTTTATTTTTAAAATTTTAATTCCAGTGTAGTTAACATACAGTATTGTATCAGCATCAGGTATATAATATGTAACTCAGCAATTCCATATATTACTCAGTGCTCATCAAGATAAGTGTACTCTTAATCCCCTTCACTTATTTCACACATCCACCTACCACCTCTTCTCTGGTAACTATCTGTTCTCTATAGTTAAGTCTTTTTTGTTTGTTTGTTTGTTTGTTTGTTTGTTTGTTTCTCTGCCTCCCTCTTTGTTCTTATGATTTTTTTTTATCTCAGCTAAATACTTTGGGGTGGAATGGCTAAGTCATATAGTAGATATATCTTTAACTCTTTTAAAAAACATCAAACTGTTTTTACAAAGTGTGACATTTTATGTTCCTTCATTGTATGAAAGTTCCAATGGCTTCATATCATCACCAATACTCCATAAGGTCAGTCTTGTTAATGTTAACCACTCTAGAGTATATATGGTGTTAATCTTTTTATGGTTTTAAGGGGAATTTTCCTACAGATTAATGATGTTAAACATCTTTTCATTGGTTGACTTTCCATCTACATATTTTCTCTGGTAAGGGTCTATTCAAACCTTTTGCTCATTTTTTGTCGAGTTGTTTTACTTCTTATTTCTGAGTGGTAACAGTTCTTTATATGTTCTGTATACAAATCCCTTGTGGGATATATGTTCTGTTAAGCATTTTCTCCAGTGCGTGGCTTACCTTTAATTTCCTAAACTGTATCTTTTTTAAAGTTATTATTTTAATTCCAGGTGGTTAACATAGTGTTATATTAGCTTCAGGTATACAATAGTGATTTAAAATTCCATACACCATCCTGTGCTCATCACAACAAGTGCATTCCTTAATCCTCTTCACCGGTTTCATCCATCCTCTACCCTCTGGTAACCATCAGTTTGTTCTCTATAATTAAGAGTCTACTTTTTTTATTGGTTTCTCTCTCCCTCTTTTTCTTCCCTTTGCTTATTTGTTTTGCTTCTTAAATTCCAGTTATGAGTGAAATCACATGGTATTTGTTTTTCTCTGATGACTTATTTCACTTAGCATTAAACTCTTGAGCTCCATCCATGTGTCATTGCCAGTGGCAAGGTTTCATTCTTTTTTGTGGCTGAATACTTTTCCATTGGAGATATATACCACATCTGCTTTATCCATTCATCTATCAATGTACACTTGGGCTGCTACCATATTTTGGCTACTGTCAATAGCACTGCTATAAACATAGGGGTGCATGTATCACTTTGAATTAATGTTTTAGTATTTTTGGGGATTAATGCGATTATTTGATGGTAGAGTAATTCTATTTTTAACTTTTTAAGGAAACTCCATAGAGTTTTCTACAATGGATACACCAGTTTGCATTCCCATCAATAACATGGGAGCCTTCCCCTTTCTCCCCTTCCTCACCAACACCTGTTGTTTCTTCTGTTGTTGATGGTAGCCATTCTGACAGATGTGAGTGAGGTGCTCTCTCATTATAATTTTGACTTGCATTTCCCTGATGGTAAGTAATAATGAACACCTTTTCATGTGTCTGTTGGCTGTCTTCTTTGGAGAAATGTCTGCTCATGTCCTCTGCCCATTTTAATTAGTTTATTTGCTTTTTGGGTGTTGAGTTTTATAAGCTCTTCATATATTTTGGATACCAATTCTATATCAGACATTATCATTTGCAAATATCTTCTCCTATCTTGGAAATTGCTTTTTAGTTTTGTTGATTATTTCCTTCACTGTGCACAAGCTTTTTATTTTGATGTAATCTCAATAGTTCCATATTTGCTTTTGTTTCCCTTGCCTCAGGAGACAAATCTATGGGGAAAAAAGCTGTTATAACCAATATCAGAGAGGTTACTGCCTAAACATTATCTTCTGAAAAGAATTTTTTTTATTTTGATGGAATCCAATTAATTGATTGTTCTGGGATGCAATTAAGTTGATTTAACAGTTTGAGCCTTTCAAAACTTGCTTATAAGCTGTGTGAGGATCAGAACAGCTTTTGAGAAGTGGTATCCTGTATAACTTCATTTCTATTCCTATGTGGGAGACTGGACATCTTTATATGATGAAGAAAGATGTGCATCTTATTTTTCATTTGGAATGGGGTAGATGTCAAGAAAGACATTAGAAATGAGTTGATATCCAGACTGGATATTTATATATGAGCAAGAGTTTGTTAAATTGACAAGGGAGAAAGCACATTAACACAAATGAAACCTCTATATATAGGTATGAGGGAGGACATGGGATTATTACTCCTCATAACTCTTTGAATATTCTAGGAAAGAACCATCTTCCTTATTGACTATATTATTTCAATTTATCTAAGCCTCAATTACCCAATGTCTGAAGAATTAGGAACAATCCTGACCACCTCTTAGAAGCCCCTGTGAAGTATAAATAAGGTAACAATTACAGAAGACTCAGAAAATTCCTGACACACAACAGGCACTCAAGAATAGTAATTTTTAGCATTATCTCATATTTCATAAGTGTATACACTTAAATAGATAATTGTTATTTATCACACAATGTTCTACATGCTTTCCAAACCGCTACATATGTGTCCTTTGTCTTATTGAAGTGCCTATAGGACACAAATTAAAGCTTAACTCCTTAGATCTCATTTATATCAAACAAAATACCTCAAACATAACTTTTTGAGAGACAAAAGCTCAGAATATAAATATTCAACACACATATTCAACTGGGTATATTCATCTACCAAAATAAGAGAAAAAACACTCCTTTATTATACCCTCTCTGAAGAACATGTTCATAATAATTTAATAATTTTTAAAAGAACCTATCCATGCCAATGAGTTTTTTTACTGTGTAAAATTAGTGAATCATTGCATTATAACTTTCAAATCGAATAGATCCAATAAGACAAAAGAGATAGGTACTTTGCTAGGATCTTTTGTACCTCACTGACCATCATAAAATCCAAAGGAATCACAGTATTCCCTACTGAACACAAGTGATTGTCCACCCCCGCCCCCCAAGATGGCTCTTTCACCCTATTTTCCTACCAGCATTTCATATGACTTGTTAACCTCTTGGATAGAAGATTTAGTTGACATAAAATCCATTCTCAACATATTATCCTGGAGTTAAATACATAAATGAAGATTTAGCACTTGTAAAATCCAAAGAAATAATGTCATAGGATGAGTATACTTTGGAAGACACATCAGACAAGGAAAGAAATATGGAAGCTGATTCACTTGGTTTTAACCAAATCATATAGCTTACAATACAACAGGAGAAGGAAATGGAGCCTTTTCTATATATAGGTATATTTACCAGATAAACATAATTATCTAATTTACTAAAACTACATGATTTTCTATTAGGATAAACAACAAGAAGAGTTGTCCTGCACATGGTCCTAGTGGCCCTCAGCAGGGTATAAAAGTGACAGATGGCAGGGGAGATCACACTTGAGAACTTCATTCTTCTGGAAACCCACCCAGAGCCTCCACCCTCTGACACCATGGTCAACTCCTGTTGTGGATCGGTCTGCTCTGACCAGGGCTGTGGCCAGGAGACCTGCTGCCACCCCACCTGCTGCCAGACCACCTGCTGCCGCCCCAGCTGCTGTGTGTCTAGCTGCTGCCGCCCCTCCTGCTGCCAGACCACCTGCTGCAGGACCACCTGCTGCCGCCCCAGCTGCTGTGTGTCCAGCTGCTGCCGCCCCTCCTGCTCTAGTTCCAGCTGCTGTGGCTCCAGCTGCTGCAGGCCCAGCTGCTGCATCTCTAGCTGCTGCCGCCCCACCTGCTGCCAGACCACCTGCTGCAGGACCACCTGCTGCCGCCCCAGCTGCTGTGTGTCCAGCTGCTGCTGCCCCTCCTGCTCCAGTTCCAGCTGCTGTGGCTCCAGCTGCTGCAGGCCCAGCTGCTGCATCTCTAGCTGCTGCCGCCCCTCCTGCTGTGGCTCCAGCTCCTGTGGCTCCAGCTGCTGCCGCCCCTCCTGCTGCTGCCCGTCCTGCTGCCTGCGCCCAGTCTGTGGCCAGGTCTCCTGCCACACTACCTGCTATCGCCCCACCTGTGTCATCTCCACCTGCCCCCGCCCCATGTGCTGTGCCTCCTCTTGCTGCTGAGCCCCCTGTCCTGTGACCACTATTTCCATTTACCTCTGCCTCACAGATAAAGACCCTTCTTTTGTGCTGAGTGTTAGGACACATGGAGTCTGGTTAACATCATTCAACAGTTGAGCCTCATAATTCCAGGGATCCCACCACCATCCCATTGACTCAGTACATTCTGGTTTATGTTAAGCTCCTTCCATTATTATCTTTTCCTTTCAGTATTGGCACCAAATATGGATATTAATTTGTAACCTATCAGCTAAAAAATTATCCCATTCCTCTAAATTTGTCATTCTTCCTTATCACTTTGGGGCTCTAGATTATCCTTCCTAACAAAATGATTATCTGCAACTCCTGTGCCATACTGATTTGACACTCTCTGATCTGAGGTTCAGTTATACCCTAAGACCTGGGGGTCCAATTATGTATTTTCTGAAGGAGTGAATTTCTTATGTCTTGTTGCTTCTCTGCTTTTAATAAACTTTTCTACAGATAAAAATTCATTGGCCTTATTCTCTATTGTTTTCATGATCATTTTTCTCAGTAACTAGACAACTATATTTACATGATGATACAACTCATGCTGAAACCACTTCAAGGGGCACCTGGGTGGCTCAGTGATTGAGCATCTACCTTTGGCTCAAGTCGTGATCCCAGGATCCTGGGATTGAGTCCCACATTAGGCTCCCTGCAGGGAGCCTGCTCTCCCTCTGCCTATGTCTCTGCCT